AGGAACAGAACCCCACATCTCTGAGCTGGGAGCTAGGAAGAGATCGGGGAGGAGAACAAGAAGATGTCTTCCGGGGAGAAGAGGGGAAGGATTCTTCTTGGAAAAAGGGGATTGCCCAGGAATGGCCTAAGGCTCGCATACGGCTCCTGGGTGGGGGCACAGGCCTGTCTGGGAATCCTGGGACCCACAGTTCCAAGGACTGCAGGAAGGTGAGGGCTCCTTTCCCCGTCTCAGCCCTTCCCCTTCCGTAATAGCTTCTAGAGCCCCCTTCTTCCAGAAAGCCCTCCTGGGGTGCCTGTAAGGAAGGAAGGCAGAGGCCAGCTCGCTACCCTCAGCCACTTTGTGTGGCCCCAGGGTCCCTCACCTGCCGGTTCCGCTCATCGGTGATTCGCTGGATCTGAATCTTTTTCCTCCCCATCTTCTCCAAGGGTCTTCAGTGCTAGGGAGGGGAGGGGCTTGCGGGTGGTGGGTCTCAGCACGCCTTACACTGTGCTCATGAAAGGTCTGGGACCAGCGCTCAGTTCATGGTCTGCAGGACCCCTTCTGGACAGCCTCCTGGGAGGGGAGGGTGACAAGAGGACTATCAGCCCCCACAACCCCCAGCCCTGCTCCTTGTGCACACAGGCCAGCCTCACAGAAGCCCTGTGAGGGGCTGGCAGCATCTAACTCCATCCTCCAAACGAGGAAATGGCGGCTATCTGAGAGGTGGCGGCCTGCCACAGCCAGGCACAGGCTAACACTGGGCTCTGCACTCAGGACGGCTCCAGGCCTTTCCACTGTCACTGCTGCCTCTCAGGTTCCAGGCCACACCGCATGGAGCTCCCTAGAGGTCTGGGTCTTAGAGAACACTCCCCCCCATCTTCTCCCCAGACCCAGACTGGTGTAGAGACACCTGGGTTCACCAGCTGCCCCTCTGGCCTAGAATGGTGGTTCCCATTCTGGAGCCTGGTGCCAGGATGTGAGTGTCTCTGGCACCTCTGGTTCAAGAACATAGCAGAGCAGGTCTACAGCAGTGACCGTCACATCCCACTCATGAAGCCCTGGGGCCTGAGGTTCCGCAGTGGGACCCAGGGCTGTGGAGCCCCTATCCCACTTCAGCCAGAGCTCCTCTATGCCAGTCTGCTTAACACAGTGGACCTCAGCCTAAACTTTCTGTCTGAAGAATGGGTTCTACTGCTTTACACAAGTAAATAAATAAGCAGCCAACCCACCCCTTCAGGTCAGGGGCTGGCAAATTTTTTCTATAGACGGCTAAATGATAAGTATTTCAGGCTTTGCAAGCCATACAGTCTCTGTGGTAATTAGTTAAAATCTGCCACTGTAACATGACAACAGCGGTAGACAATATGTAAATGCACGAGTGTGGCTGTGTTCCAATAAAACTATATTAACAAAAAGGTGCACGAGCCAGGTTTGGCCCAAGGGCCATAGTTTGTTGACTCCTGCTCTAGAGAAACAGACCCCAGGTCAGTCTAAGGGTGCCACTTCCCAATCTTGTCCACCTTGAAGCACACAGAGAAGACCACAGGGCCAACCGACAAACACTGAGGAGGCCGTTGGCAGCCAGGGGGATGCAGACATCAGGAGGAGGGAACCTGTCTTAGCACATCTATAACCCACTCATGGCCACTGGGTGAAACAGCTCTAATTCCAGAGCCAGGATGGGAAAGAGAGCCCCTGTCCACACAACTCTAGGAGGTCCCACAGATGGGCGGGGGCATGCAGATGGCAGCCTAGCCAGAGCCAGAAAAGGCTGCATGATCCCAGGTGTGAGCACTGCCCACACAGGCTGGGTGAATACCCCGAGGTCGGAGAGGTCCAGGGTGGGATGGGGCACCAGATGACTCCAGAGCCCCTCCAGCCCTGAGATTTCAGGAGTCCCTGCATCAGAGATGAAGCTTTCTGGAAGATGCTGGAGGGGGGCAGTGAGCACGGGGCCCATGCCTTCTAAAGCCACGCTGGTTGGGTCCTGGGACAGGCCTAGACCACAGAAGTCCAGCCCTCCTCTCTGGAGTTCCCCCTCCACAGGGCCCCTGCCCTGAAATCCTGCTGTAGAGACCAGGAAAGTGGGCCCCCATACCCTGTCTGAGCACCCCCACCACCACGGACAGAGGTTTCATTTGAATGCTCGATGATAGACAAGACAGCCCTCTGTAAATAGGAACCCGCCCCCAGTTCCCATTCCCAATGGTTGCTGAGTTTGCCTGGAGCCTTTCCAGCCCCACTCAATGTGGCCCCCAAGGTACCACAGCAGAAGCAAAGGTTCACCCTTGGCATCTTGGCCATGGAGGGGAAGGGACAGGAAAGGCAAGGAATCTGCGGACTTGGAAGAGCCACGAACACGCCCTACACACTCACCCTTTCTCTTCACCACAACCATCCGTCAGGCTTTCCCAGCCCAGCTGAAGAGAGCTTCTGCTCTGTGTGGATGTCCACAGAAAACACTGCTGCCCACCTCCACTCCCAGAAGGAGCCTTCCTTGCACATTCTGACCCTCACCACTCTCAATTTTCTCCCCAAAGAGGTACCCAAGCACCCTCTTCCTCTTTTCCTTGTTCTCAAGATGCTCCATGGGCCCTGGGGCTCCTACCGTCTGCCCCTCACACACACCCTGGGACGACACCATTGCAAGGCCACCCGGTCCCGAGCTGCCCACCAGGCGTCTGGGCCCAGACCAGCTCCTGCCACACCATGCCTTGCCTGTGGCTCCAATCTCTGCCAAACCCCGACTGCAAAGGGTTCCGTCCGAGGATTTCTGCCCTGCTTCCAGTGCAATCCAACGGCTGTATTTTCTAGAGCTACAGGGTTGCGGGCCTGGCAGGAGAGAGGGTGCACGCGGTGGGAAAGGGGTGACTGAGTTGGCTAGTCACTAGTGAATGCAATTAACTACTGCGCTCCTCCTGGCTTACAGCACCTACCTTCCCTCCCTCTCCAGTGTTACTGTCTGTCTCCTGCAGCCCTTTGTTCATAAGCAAATTCTTGCTGAGACCTAACCTCTATCAGCTTACCGTCAATAACGTCTGCTTCTCCAAGTCGGGGAGAGCCCTCTCTTTGCACTCACGACCGTCAGAAAAGTCACTCCTGCAGTCTAACCTCCTGTCTTTGGTTCCCCCAATTATTTACTCTCAGGGTACCCTGTTCTTTTCTTTTTAGCACTTATTACAACCATAAATAATTACAGTTCTGTGCTTCTGTTTAAAGCCTGACTCCCCTAGGAGACTGAGGGCAGGAACCACATCTGTCTTTTTCACCACTCTATGGCCTGCAAGGAGGAGCTCAGGAAACATCTGTTTTATTGTTGTGGCCCTGTGGGAAGTCCCTCTCACAGTCTAACCTCCATCAGTCCTGCTGCAGTACCAGCTCTCCTCTTGCTCTATCCCCTGTGGAGGTAGAACGCTTCCTCTCCTGGCTGCCCCCGAAGCTTGTGTGTTTGGACACCATCCACCCTCCAACCACCTCTGCCACCCCAGTCCTCAACCCTCCCCCGTCTCTGGTTGGCTGGTGCAGAGGGTGAGACTCTTAAGTCTTCTAAGGAGCAGCCCTGAGCACATGGAGATGGAAAGGATGGGGTTGCTCAGGCAACTGTCTCCTGGCAACCAGCTCCCTGGCTGATCTCCTACACCGCCCCCCCCACCCCCGCCTCATGCTGGGGGAGCTAGGATGCGAGAGGGATCAGGGCTGAGAAGGCAGGGAAGCCACAGAGACCCACTAAACGCCCGCTTAGAAAGGAAAGTCGGGGTTAAAGAGACCAGGCCCCATCTATCTCCGCTCCCTGCCAAGGCAACCCAGGGCACGTTTTACAATCCCATGCTTCCCAGGGCCCCTTCCCCTCTGCTGCTCCCACCTCTGTGCCAAGACTGCCAGAGATGCAGAGATGCAGAGGGCAGTCCTTCCTCTTATCTAACCACAAGCCCTCCTGCAAAGCAGGCTCAGTCTGTGAGTAACACCTTTCCCCCTCTGCTCTCCATTCCACCTTGTTACAAGCTCTGGTGCAGGAACATGAACTCAACCTTGTCTTTGAAACAAAGGGTAGCTGGGGCCTGAGTTAGCACAAAGGACTCCAAACTGACCCCTTCTGAGGTATGGAGGCCTGTCCTGTCCAAGCTTCCTCCTATCCAATTAGGCAGACTTTAATCAACACCTGGACCTCCTTAATTAGCCCTCTCCCTGATTACCTAACCGACTGCCGGGAACCAGAGGCCTGGGCATCTGTTCTCCAGATGTGAGCCTCCCCTCTCCTCCCCAGCCTGGCCTGGCCCACTCCTCTTTTCCTCCCCAGCCTGCTCCTCCTCTAGGAAGCCCTCCCAGACAACCTGGTCCCTGGTTGCTCCCCTTCTAGCCCTCTCTCCTTCACTATGCCTGGCATCTGGAAGCAGGGTTTGGGAGGGCACTGGACTGCCATGGAGACAGGGAGATGGCCAGGACGGTCTTCCTTCTGGTGGCCCCAGGGTCCATCCAACCTGACCTCAGGCCACAGCTGTGACTCCCTGGCTGGCAGCACCTGTGTCACTAAAAGCTCGCCCTCAAAGGCCACAGCTGATCCTGACTCACCCACTCCTGGGCAAGGCTGGCAGGGCAGGGTTGGACAGGGTGGACTTCCTGGGGGCTGTCGGGGAGTGAAGGTAAGGCCTTCCCTGGTGGAGAAAGGAGCAAGGAGGGTAGGAGGGCAGCGGGGCCAGGCCCCAGGAAGGCAGGCACAGACCCATCCCTTGCGGAGATGGGTAGCTGCAAAGAAGCCTCCAAAAATGGAGAACAGAGAGATGTAGGGCAGGAAGAGGGGCTGAGGGGACCAGAGACTGGGACATCCCGAAGGAACACTAAACCAATAAAAAAAAAAACCAGTTGCCATCAGGTCAACTCCGACTCATGGCAACCCCATGTGTGTCAAAGTAGAACTGTGCTCCATAGGGTTTTCAATGGCTGATTTTTTGGAAGTAGATCACCAAGACTTTTTTCCAAGGTACCTCTGGGTGGCCTTGAACCTCCAACCTTTCTGATCAGCAGCTAAGTAGTTTAACCATTTGTACCACCCAGGGACCCCAGAAGGACTCTAAGACAGCCATTTTTCCAAGCTCAGCTACTAACCCAATAGGAATCTCAGAGTTGTACTTACATGCAAATTAGATGTAGATAACATGCAAATGTATTCTAAAGGGGGTCTTGGTTTGGAGAGGGCATGGGGGAAGAAACAGGCTCTGGCCTCCCCGCAAAGTAACACCTCTTGGTACCTGAGCAATATTCAAACCATTCTCGGGTTTCAGAATGATGCTATCTCAGTTCCTGTGTGAGGGTGTCCTGGGGCCAGCTGGGGGGGCGAGGGGGGTCAGTCAGTCGGGGCAACCTCCCTGGAGCTGCAGTTGCAACAGGGCTGAGCAGGTCTGCCCTTCCTGGGGAGCTGCAAATGGCTAACCTCCATCCCTTCTCTCCTGCTGTTGTCAGGGGAGTACCTACCTTCTCTTCTCCTCTACACCCTTCCACCCACGCATGCCCTCTGTCCCAGTGGCTCAGAGGCACCACAGAGCACCTATCTCCCAAGCTCCCACACCAGATGTCAAAATGGAGCAGATGCCCAGAGACACTGAGTGTGTGGCCCTGTGTCACAGAGCAAACCCAAAAACCAAACCAGTTGCCATCCAGCCGATGCCGACTCATAGCAACCCTACAGGACAGAGCAGAACTGCCCCATAGGGTTTCCAAGGCTGTAATCTTTAAGGAAGCAGATTGCCACATCTTTCTCCCGCAGAGTGGCTGGTGGGTTTGAACCGCCGACCAAGCACTTAACCACTGCGCCACCAGGACTCCTCTGTCACAGAGCAAAGGGTCCCAATACTGCTCTTCCACAGTGAGAGAGGCTGCTCTCATTAAGCGAGGCCTTCATCCCTTCCTCCCAGGCTGCTCAGGGCTGCAGGCTGTGGACGAGAGGGGAAGGCAGAAGGTACTGGAGACAGCTGTCATCCCTCCTCCCGCCCCTTCCCCGTGGCTGGGCTGCAGGGCATGAAATAAGCAGCAGGCACTGGGGGAGGGGGGTGACAATCCAATCCACCTGTCACCCCCACAGTCAGGCGGCCTCAAGCAGCCTGCTCACTAACGAGTGAGGAGGCGTGGGTGCGGCAGACACACAGAGGGGGATGGCAGAGGGGGACAGACACACAGACGCAGGAAAGGGGACAGAGAAGGAGAGGCAGAGTCCAAGAGAAAGGCAGAGTGTGGGCCAGAAGCAGAGGCAGACCAGGAGAGGGCCAGAGGGGAAAGAGGCAGGAGACCAGACAAAGACTGAGGAAGCAGGGGAGAACAGGCAGGTTCAACCACTGCTTGCACGATCCTAACTGGAGGGCTGGGCGCTGGGGGCTTAACTCGAAAGGACACCATCCCTGCCCTCTCAGAACTTGCAGTGCAGCCAAGTGACAGACAAGGGAGGCGCAGGTCCCACCCAGGGCAGGGAGCGCCACAGGGGCTCTCTGGGACCTGGATCAGGCCCAGGTTAGGCCCAGGAAGGAGCAACCTGGCTCCTGAGGCTCTGAGCTCTGTTCAGAGTGGGCAGAGGTGAGGAGCTGGGAGCAGGGCTGCCCAACTCTGTGGAGGTCCAGGTTCTCAGCCAGCGGCCTCCTCAAGCTCTAGGTTGCTGCCTCCCTTCCCAGCCCACCCCCAGGGCTCCCAGCCTTCCTGGTCATTCTCTGAACCTCAGCCCTGGGACCTCCTCCCTCTAAGCAGAGACACTTGCAGAGGACTCAGGAGGACAAGGTGGAAAGGTGAACCCAGTGACTCCCCACAAACACAGAGACGGGGCCCAGGCAAGAGGGTCTGGGGGCACGTTTCAATGGTTCATACCTCCGGGAGCACACACAGGGAGCCTTTCCTCCCCAACACTGCATTAGCCCCAAAGTGGGACATTTCTTCGCCAATGCCTAATAAGTAAAGGCAGTGCGTGGGGGGCCCATACTGGCCCTGCCCCTTGGCCCCTCTCTGGCTTCCCTCTCACCTTCCATTCTCTCCAGCCCCTCAGCTCTTCCTCCCCTCCCCCTCCATGGCAGCCTCTCTCCTTTCACCCCAGGGTTCCTCTAGGGTCCCCAGCCCCAAGCCTCCTCCCTTCAAGGCTCTATCTAGCAGGCTCACTACTCAAACTCCTGGTTCCCACCATCTCCCCCTTCCTCAGGGACTCCCCTCCCCCAGCCCCAGCAGCCTCAGGGCTGGGCAGGGGCTATTTTTAGCCTGGGCACTGAGCTAATTTTAACTCACCGACAAGGGACCTGGGGGCGGGCTGGCGGGCCTGGGGTGGGGGGGAAGGGCCAGTTCAGGAAGGTTGGGCCTGGGGCAGGGGGGTGGTCTCAGGTCCCAGGTGCCCTAAGAACTGCAGAGTGGGGGGTGGGCACAGCAGCCTCAGCTTAAGGGACAGGAACCAACTTGCCAAGGGGAGCACCCGGTATGGTATGGGAGGCAGGGCCCGGAGCCCTCCCCGCAGCTTCTGCTGGACAACTCTCCCGCACCCCACCCTAGGCTTCCCACCCTCTCCTCCCTGGCAAACCTCCTGGGATGGAGTCATCCTGTTCTCTACCCAGGAGATGCCACGAGGGTGGGGGGCTGTCTCCTGAGCCGCCTCTCCTGCTTCCCCACCCTAGCCTGTTCTTCCTGTAGTCTAGCTCTCATCCTTCCTGCAGCCGGTACAGGCTGCAGGGCTCCCTATGGAGTCAGGAGACCTCCCCAGGCCCTAGCTCCAGCCCTCCCCTGGCAGCTTGTGGGCTGCCTCGAGGCACTCCCCTCAAGTTCCTGGAGCCACTCAGCCTGTTCTTAGGGAGTACTGGGGGGCAATGAGATTGAATCCTAGTAAGAAAGGGGCAGATGAGGTAGACAATGAACAGCCCAGGGAAATACAGGGGCTCTAGGCTGGAATTCTGGATGCCTGTTCTAGTTAATACTCTGGCTCTAACTTGCTATGTGAGTGACCTTGAACAAGTCACTGCCTCCTCCAGGCTTCATCCCACTGGCCATTAAAATGGGCAGGGAGGGGGGCGGTGAGGCAAGAGTAGACTAGGCACCCAAGTGCCCTTCCAGCCCTGACATTCTGTTCCTGTGCTCTTTGGAGAGGCCCAAGATTCTATGGAGATTACAGATGGTCTCACTGGGCCCACCTGCCCCAGCTGGCGGAAAGGGGCGATGTGGAGACAAGGAGACAGTAGCAGTGGGGAGAGGCATGCCTTCACAGTCAGCCAGGGCAGGTGCCAGGTGGGGCATACCTGGTTCTCAGGGCGAGGGCTCGGCCACCCCAGTCCCCTCACACATGTGGTGAAATGCCTATCAGACCCAGGGCTTGGGGCTGTCTGCTCCTAGTAACCAGGCAGTGACTGGCCCAAGGTCACTATCATGGCTGTTGGCAGGGTCAGTTCTGGAGCCCGCGCCTGCGCCTCGCTTCACACCCCACCCCAATAGGCTGAGCAGCAATGACTCACTGCTCCTCATTTGCATGGGGTTTGCATAGCGTCTCTGACCTTATTCCTTCAGGCTCAACTTCCCATTCCAGGACTGTGTCTCCCCCACCCAGCATCCCTGGGTACTTAGGTACCCCAAGTGGGGTTCTTAGCATCCAGTCCCACCCTTCTCCAGAAAACCTTCCTGAATTAATAAACACTCCTAAAGGTACTGTCTAAAGCACTCCATCTCACTGGGTCCTCTACTCTTGAACAAGTTCCCAAGAGGCAGGGATGTTGGGGGTGGCAGGATAACTGTGGCCATCCTACTATCTGGGGGCTCCCCGGGAAAAGAGTTCCATTCTCCACCTGAGTGCCAAGGCTGGAGCAGCAGTATGGGGGTGGGCTGTCCTTTACTTCTGCCTCTAGACCCGCTTCTAAAATCCACCCCCAAGAATGCAAAATGAGGGGAAAGAGCCTAGCACAGCAGGCAAGATAGATGAAGACTACAGAAAGGACCTCCCAGGACTGAGTCCCTGGACTCACAGTAGTCTCTGGGGCTCAGACTTGCTCTGTCAAAAGGCACCTAACCAAGCATGGGCAGCTGGTGACGTGGGGGGGGGGCATGGCCCTGGCATTGCACTCCAACCAATGGGAGCTGGCAGATAACCAGTCCTCTGCCTCCCTTGAAGTCTGACCTCCATTTGTCCAGTTCTAGGATCTACATTTCCAGACATACCCTCTGAGACAATGAAGCCCCGCAGTGGTCTCCTATCCTGGGAAGTCCTTCCTGCTATCTAACCGCCATCCCTCCCACTGTAGCCCACCCTTCTACTGCAGCCTGAGCCTGTTTCAGTCATCTTGATGAGTGGTGGACAGGGGCCCTTGGCCATCAGAAGCCCCGGCTGAGGAGAGGTGGGGGCGGTTGGGACGGTTAGTATGTCACCTTCTACCTCCCCACCCAACTTCCCTCTGGGGTCTCAGGAGACAGAAGTGAAAGTGGCAGCTGGGGCCTTGGGGGCGGGTCAGCTTGAGAGCCGTTGGGGTGAGCATAATGCCACAGCGCTGGGTGTGGGCCACGTGCCATTGCAGCGGGTGGGCTGATGGTTAGTCCAGGGGAGGGACTTCCCATGGAAATGAGGGTATGGGGTAATGATGGGGTGTGGGCCCCCGGCCAAAGGAAGCACAGGCTGAAAGGGAAAGAACCGAGACAGACAGGCAGTGGATGATCCCAGAAGGGCACTCTCTTCAGGGTAGTGGTTTGTCCCCTTGTTTTAGGCAGCAGGATCCTTTCTTCTCATCCAAAGAACAGAGGCAGTGTGGCTGAAGCAGATGCTGAGACGTGGGGGCAAGAAGAGAGGAGGGGGGAAGCACCAACTCGAAGAGAAGGTAGAGGGCCAGAATGTGAAGTGTCCACCTACAATTATGACAGGGGGCCAAAGGAGGCCAATCCAATCAGGGAAAGCAAATCCCCCTAGAGACACCATGCCCTCGGGAAGCCACCAAGGATTTAAAGGGGCCGCTCAGGGCAGCGGCTGGGTCTCCTTCTGACTCAAAAGGACAGTCCTCTAAGCCCCTGGCAGGGGAGGGGGGGCAGTGTGGCCGTGTGGGCCTGCTGAGACGGCCGACCAGGCAGCTCTTACAGGATTAGCTTGCTGCTTTCAGGAAAGGTGCCAGGTGAGGCTAAGATGCCCAGCCAGATGGAGGGGGGCCCTGGCAGGTGGGGGGCAGTATCTGAACATGGCTATGTAAATATATGCCCCCAGGTTTGTGCCCCTCACCAATACCTGGCTTCTCACCCTCTTAGAAGGCCCCTGCAAGGCCCCTCTGATTCCTGCCAACTAGGACCCCTGCCTACCAAGCTTTCCTTGCCATTCCCATGATCTGGGGCTATCCTTCCTCCGAGCTGGAAGTCCTGCCTGTTGTCTACTCTTAATCCCTCTGCTACACATTAAAACCAAGGCCCCATTCCTGGGAGCAGGTGACAGGGCTGAGGGGTTCCTCCCTCTCTCCTCCCCCTCTGCTCCCTACCCCCTGGGCTGACAGGTGGGGGAGACAAGAAAGAGCAGCTGGGCCAGGACACCTGTCCCCACCCAGCCAGCCTGGGCCCCACAGGCCTTCCAGGGGCCATGGGGGGAAGCCAGCATAGAGGCAGGCAGCTGTAGGGGCTGGAGGCAAGAGGCGCAAAGGACAAGGAGAGGGGTGCCTGGGACAGCCTGCAGCACCCCCGTCCAGATTAGCCTTTCCTCAGGGAACATCTCCAATCGTCATCACTCAGTGAACACACAACACGTCGCGCTCTAAAGGCAACAAAGATCCGAGGTCATCTGCGCCATCCCCTTGCCTCCGTGCTACTTGATCCAGCCAGGGTGGGAAGACCCGGCTACAGGAAGAGACTACCTCCTCCTTCCCTCTCTTCCCTGGTGCCGTTTCCCTTGAGGTGGGGATGGGCTCTCTCTTACTTCTTAGTCCACAGAAGTGATGGAGAAGAGACTCTTGCACTTCTCAACCCCAGGTATTTGCTGGTGGGTGGGGGAGGGGAAATCAGGATGCATAAGCAAGCACCACAGCCAGAGGGATTTGGTAAGCCTCCTGGGGTGAACTGTAGAGGGGGCAGGTTCTGAGACAAGGAGACAGCTGGTCAGGGAGGGCAGGGCTGGGCTCAGCTTCCCAAGCTCATCCCAGGGTCAGACTGAGCCCTAAGTCTGGAGGGAGGGCCCCAGGGGACCTTCTCAGTCCCTCCTCCCTCCAGAGTTCCCTACTCTAGACCCCAGAAGTACGATCCACTCCCACACCAGCTTCCTGGGCCAGGTTGGGGCCACAGGTGTGAAAGGAAGGACACAACCACTTTCTAAGCATCCACTCTGGGTTGGGCACCACACATTTTCCCACTGAGCTCCCTTCCATTCCCATGTGAGGCAGGAGGCATCATCTCTCCCTTTCAAGATATAGAAACCAACTAAGAGATGGGCAGGGACTTGCCCAAGGTCACCAGCAATAAGTGGCAAAGGTGGGCTGGTTGCTGAGCTAAGCGCTTCCCTGAACAACCTGCCTCCAGCAGCGAGTTACAGCACATTCCTTCCAGGGCAGAGTCGCCAACTTCCAGGCCTGGGAGACTCACGTCAGCCATGCTTCTGCCTTCAGACAAATCCAGGCCTCTCGTGGCTCAAGCCTTCTTGCCCTAGCCTCTCTCCTCATTCTTCCCACATGGCAGCTCAAGTGGTTACTGATGGGTACCCAGGAGGGGTCTCTGTGGGTCATTCATTCCTGACCTCATGCCCTTGCATTGTGGGCTTTCTCCCACAGCATAAGACGTTATCTTCTCAGGGAATCAAAGCAACATCTTCCCTCTACTTGCCGTCAAACCTTAATCCTCTGCCCTCCTGCTAGGCAATCCCACTTGGTTAGTACTTCAACATGTCATCTTTCTCCCCGGTTTCCCTGGGCCTGACTTCTAACCTCTTCCTTAACCTCAGACAAAAACATCTCCTAGCTGGGAAAGTTTAAGCAAGTCATGTAAGTCTCTGGACTCGGTTTCCCCAACTATAAAAGACAGTTGTGGAGAGAACTGAGTCTTCATGTTATCATGCCCAGCACAGAGCTTGGCACACAGGACAACAGTAAATGGAAGTTTTTTGGAGACACACTCCCCCACCCCTACCCGTTCTACCACCCCCCACCCCAGGATCTCAAAAAGTTTGAAGTTTTATTCTCTAAGATACACTGGAAAAACGTGTGTGTGTGGTGGGGGGGAGAGGGGAGGATACCGCCTGAGGGCAAAGCTCCCTTGACCAGGGAGCAAAAAAGCGCCTTCTCTATATGCCTTCCTGGTCGGTCCAACTCCTAGGGGTGTGGCCAGAGCACCCAGCCAGAGGCACTATGCCAAGGTCAGTGACCAGGCCCAGAGCCCAGCGCCTCCTGGGAGGGTGAGT